ACTTTGTTCCAGTTTTGAATTTTGGCCCACTGTGTATTTGAGTTTGACACCCCTGATTTAGACAAATGACTAATTCCTCCCTCTCGAACTCTTTCTCCCTGCAGGTGACTGGGACTGTCATCCTCTAGATCCTGCAGTTTGGCATGTAAGTTTCACCAGTCAGGTTGTTCCTGAAGCTCTGCCCTGATCCCCTTCCTCACATATAGCTGCACTTATATTAAATCGAATGTTGCATGGGAGCCATGACCAAATTCCCAGTATTTACAGTTGATAATGTGCTTTGTAAACATCCTCATGTCTTTGTCCCTTTAGCATCCAGTTTCGTGGCAGCCATCCAAAGAGGGTGACCACCTGATTGGGCGGATCACTCTGAGCAAGAGGTCAGCCGTGCCCCGTGAGGCAGGCTCTCTCCTGGGACTAAAAGTAAGCAGAGATTCATTCACATTAAGATCTGTCGGAGTGTTGGAGAGGACGGAGTGACATCTGATCTTATCGTACGTCTGTCTCATCTTTGTGTGCAGGTGGTAGGAGGGAAGATGACGCAGACAGGGAGACTTGGGGCCTTCATCACCAAAGTTAAAAAAGGGAGTCTGGCAGATGTCGTGGGACACCTACGTGCAGGTACAAAAAATAGAACATGTTGTTCCTTTGCAGGAGTTGCAGAACTGCAGACAGTAATGTTTTCATCGAGGAATGCATGAGAGATCAACCTTTGCAGAGACATCAGTATGTACTTGTCATGTTTGCAGGCATGAGTAGCGTGCTTGTCATTTAAATTGTTAAATGCTAAAATGCTAAACATTTGTAGCAGCTTGTGGTGGCCTACAGAATAGTAATAATACTGGTGTTTTATTGGTGTAATGTCTGTGTGATCAACCAGCCTGCTTGTGCTGCATTCACATTATACCAGACCTTTACTGGAGTTTTATTTTGAGGAGTTTGGTTTTGCCAGTTTTACACTGATAAATAAATAATTTTCAAAGCCTTTTAAAAAAGAAAAAAAAGGGAATGTGGGCAAAAGTAAGCAACCGCAGTCAGCTGTTGGGATTAAAGTGAAATTAGAGTATATATATAAAAAGCACAGAATGTATAAACAGGGAATGTGTACAGTTCTGCAGTGAAGCAGTCATCATTCATGCTACATTTTGCTTATCTGACCACGCTGTGTCATGATTTGAATAATAATGGAGTAATGTATGGAGTGCTGAGGTCACGGGACTACTTTTGGCTGTAATTGTTGACTGTACAGCTTCTTGTTAATGTAACATTTGAGCCCGTGAAAGAGACAGCTAATATTCAGAATAAGGTCCTTGCAGCAGCTCCCAGCGACTCAGCTGCTGCTGAAAGTATTAACCCAGGGCCTTATTTATGCTTGAACATAGTGTTAAAATCACTCCTGAGGGTGAAAAAACATTTGAGGAGGTTCTGAGAGCTCCGTTTTCAATTTACAGGTCGGAAATCATCGTAACTCACCTAAAATGCTTTGTCACTGTTAGGGCTGCCACAATTAGTCGACTAGTCACGATTACGTCGACTATTAAAATCGTCGACGACTAATTTAAT